CGCTCTTCCAGCTTGTGCCGCTCTGCTTCAGCCGTGGACTTCATGCGTTCCAGCAGTAGCCTCAGCACCCGCAGCAAGAAGGGCAAGAGCAAGAAGAAGCAGAGAAGCCACAGCTCAGAATCAGACAGCTCTGACGATGACCGCAAGAAGAAGAGCTCCAAGAAGAAGAGTAAGAAGTCCAAGAAGAAGTCCAAGAAAGAGTCTTCGTCGTCTTCCTCATCCTCGGAGTCTGAGTCTAGCACAGAGTCGGACTCCAGTTCAGGAGCATCCACTATTTCTTACAGAAGCTCCAGCAGTATCAAGAAAGCCCCTGGCAGGCAGGCCTCAGGCTCTGAGAAAGAGCTGGAGCCCGAAGGCCCCTCTGAAGGAACTCCCCCCGTGTCTAAGAAAGAGAAGAAGAGGAAGAAGAAAGTAGACAATCTTATGATGAAGTACCTGTACAGGCCTGACAGTGACTAAAGATGGCAGTAGGTGATACCTGGTGTGGAGTGAAGGAATGCAACAAGCACGGTGTTAAACTAATACTCAAGTACCTCAGTACCGTCTGATATCATTCATTGCGTTTTACCATAACTTTACTCTCTACTTTCAGTTTTTCTTTACACTGTGTTGATTCACTTTGTTACTCACACACATTTTTGAGTGATTTTTTTGTAGTTATTTATCAGTAGTTCTCTACCTTTTTGACTTGAAGGCCCTCCTATCTAAGCTGATATGTAGCTCTGTAGCTCTAAATAACTAAACTTATATGATTTAAGACTTATTGGGGCCCCGTAAAAGTTTTCTGAAGCCTCCTTGTTGAGAACCACTGCTTTATGTCATTCATTGACATGTCTTTGTGATGTAGTATCTCCAAATAACAGTGTAACTAAAGTTAGTTTGAAATTCTTTCTTTGGTCTTGGACATAATTAAACAGAAAATCGATTAGGACTGCTTGCCAGCAATTAACCTGAAGTTTGTATTATTATGACAAAGAGAAGATAAGACTCAGTGACACGAAAAGTTATCCTTGACTTTTGGAAGAGGGCGAGGTATTCATGCTTTCTCTACATCGGTCTGTTCGCTTTTGTATAATTAGAGGACACAGTTCATTTATATGTTAATTCACTGATAAGATTATGAGTAGACATCAAGAATATTTCAAGTTGTTTAAAATGGACCATAGATTTTTTAGCAAGGGATTTTTTTATAATACATAATTTTATTTGTATTCAACTCTGTACTGGCTTGACTGTGTATAGTCAAACAGGAAGAGGCTTGACTGCGATGGCACCTAAATCAATACTAGTAATATATTGCTGCTATATCAGTTATCAGTCGATATTAGTTATTATACTGGATGTTTAAAGGGATAGTTCACCCAAAAATGAAAATTCTGTGATTAATTACTCACCCTCATGTCGTTCCAAACCCGTAAGACCTTTGTTCATTTTCAGAACACAAATTAAGATATTTTTATGAAATCTGAGAGCTTTCTGACTCTGCATAAACAGCAACTGAACTACCAAATTCAAGGCCCAGAAAGGTAGTAAGGACATCCTTAAAACAGTCCATGTGACATCAGTGGTTCAACCACAATTTTATAAAAAGAAAGTAATATACACCTAGGATGCCTCGAGGGTGAGTAAAACACAGTCTAATTTTCATTTTCTAACCCTTTAAAGTTAATCTTCAAAACTCTAGTAATTTAACTAATATAATTTTAACAATTCAATTTACCACTGTTAAATGTAATCTTTAGCAAATCACAAAATGATTATCCATTTTTCATCTTGTACATAATGTTGTGATGCTTAAATTCACTTGTAGCATTCAAAATGATTGATCTAAGTTTTTATGTGTTTAACTTTTTAATTTATTTAGACAAAATAGTGTAGAATTTTAATATCAGGCATGTATACATTATCAGCCATAACACACAAAATAATTAACTTACCATTACAAATTTTGGTATTTTCTTGGTATTTTTTGCTGTTTGCTTGTACAACTTCACTAACAATTATCCGATAAGGTGATGTTTCAGAGCACTGATTTGCATGTGATTTGTGTGGCTGCACCTCTAATGCGTCACCAAAGATGATACTGAATTATAGGGCCTGTTAAATATTGTTACCCCACATTCAGAATTTTGATAACCCAACATTCCTTCAGAGATTATCCTCTTTGGTCTCTCTTTCCACACGCTGATCCTAATCAAAGCTTCTCTATCTCCCCCTCCAGCCCACCCTCCAGTCGCAGACGCTTCTGCCTTGACAGATCTGACGAGGAAGAGGAAGAAGAAAAAGAGGAAGGGAGCATGGGCCGAAGCACCTACCGCTCTACAAACGCAGCAGCTACCTGAACGACAGCGATGGCGAAACCACTGCGTAGCCACCCCCCACGCACACATTCACCTGCACTCACGTTCATAAAAAGGAGGACTTAATATCAGTGTCTTCCTTGAACCCGAATCCAGGATTTCAGCGAGAGAGGAGCATGGTGGGACACACTCTGGCAAAGATATACCCCTCATTTCTTACGACTTGTTATTAGTATTATTTCACATGTGCTTTGTGTTTAAAACTGTAAGGGGTTTGTACAGCATCATGAATCTCAGCACTGTTGACTCTTTCCTCTTTGTGTGCTTTTACTTCTGACGTTCTTCCTCTTCCTTTCTAAATAAGCAGTGACTTTACTAAACGCCGTGCTTGCATTCTTACTCCGGTCAGGATTCAGTAATGGATATTGCTTCAGGCAACACGCTACAGCCTCTTGCATGGTCAGGCCTGAGCCAAAGATACATGGCATCGTGTAAATGTGAAATTGCTGGATTTTTCTGTTGTGCTAGATTTAAAAGAAAAGAAAACCAAGAGAAAAAGGCAAAGAAAGTATTGTATTACCAAAAAAAAAAAAAAAAGCAGCATTGTTTTAGGTATGTGAGCATATTAGTTTTTCGTTCTTGACTTGAGTCGAGGTGGGATTGATTTAAGGCCACCTTCCTCTCCATCTTCGCTTTCATATGGTGAAGGATTCATGTTTTTTGCTCGAGTAAGAGAAGGAAGTCCATTTCTCCTCTAGGTTCTTCACTTTGTTTTGATGTTTTATGTGGAGAGGAAAAAAAAGCGATCAGGTCAATGATACGAGAAGAGGGCAGCGTTTCAGGATGTTCAGGTCTGGACTCTCAAACTCTTTTTTTTTTTTTTTTTCTTTCTTCATAATATGCCTGTCTTGTTCTGTTTTGACTGAATTGACTAGGTGCTTGCTCATAGTAGACGTTGTATGGCTCAGCGGTTTTTTCCCACACTTTTTTGTTGTTGTTGTTGTTCTCAGGCTTTTTTGTTTTGGTTATCATAGATGTCTGGCTTTCCCAAGGGAACGCCCATATTCTTGGCTATATGGGGCATTGTGGTAATTTATCATCCAACTCCACCGATGCTGGATAAACAGCTTCAAAGTTGCTTTTTGCGCTGATGTGATGCAACCAGAAGCACGAGATAGAGACATTTGACAGAACCGATACTGTGAAATCCCAGCTTCCCTGCGGCATGTCGTCACATTGGATTCATCAGTATTTTTGGCCTTACCTAATGACTTCGAGACTCACTTGAACCTGTACGGACACGCACCCCTCCGATTTCCATTGTTGCCTTCTGTTGTTTTGTTGTTCTGCTTTCATTGTAGTATTTATGATCTAGCATTGATGGATTGAGCGAAGCTGGCAAAATATAAAGCAACAGCATATGAAATAGCAATGAAAGGATGTCATTGCTTCTCTTTGATTTTTAAAGGGAGACCGCGTGTGTATTTTACATGGTTTTATAGACCCTCTGCAAAGGTCAACCACTTTATCCTCTTTTCTATGCAGTCAATATTGATTTTAATATGAAAAATGAGCATTTTATGAGGTTTCTGGCGAATTAAAACACGTGGCATCAAGATGCATAACGTTTGCTGGCTGTACACATTAATATAAAAATATATAAATATCCGTATGATTCATTCTAGCTTTCAAAATAGCTAATGTTTATTTTCTTTATTGAATAAATGACCACTTGATAAGTAATAATTTTGCATTACAGTTTAATATATTGTAAATAAATGATGGTGATTGTTTTAGACTTGTTTCAACATGCCTATTTCATAATGCATTTTTTTTATTAGCAGACACAAAGGAAAAAAAATAATTTCAGCATGTTCAACATTTCTCACATTTTAAAGCTGCAGTGTATTATTTCTGCACCATTAGTGGCATCAAAGAGAATTTTTTCAGTGAAATGATTTCAATAAAAAAATAATAAACAATAATGAGATGGTTCGTCTTAAGAGGTTTATCCTTAAATAATTAATTTATTGCAATGAATAATTGAAGTTTTCTAAATAGGTTTCATTAAACCTTTCATTATTTGGAATTTTTTCATTATTTGTGACCCTGGACCAAAAAAACAGTCTTAAGTCGCTGGGGTATGTATATTTGTAGCAATAGCCAAAAATACATTGTAGGGGTCAAAATGATTGATTTTTCTTTTATGCCAAAAATCATTAGGATATTAAGTAAAGATCATGTTCCATGAAGATATTTTGTAAATTTCATACTGTAAATATATTTAAACTTAATTTTTGATTAGTAATATGCATTGCTAAGAACTTCATTTGAACAACTTTAAAGGCGATTTTCTCAATATTTAGATTTTTTTGCACCCTCAGATTCCAGATTTTCAAATAGTATCTCGGCCAAATATTGTCCTATACTAACAAACCATACATCAATGGAAAGCTTATTTATTCAGCTTTCATATGATGTATAAATCTCAATTTCGAAAAATTGACCCTTATGACTGGTTTTGTGGTCCAGGGTCACATTTGCTATAGGTTGAGCATATAAATGTCTCTTCTCAACTCTATTTAAAAAAATGACACACAACAGCTTATTTTTTTTTATTCATCCAAAGCTTTTATATTTTGATTTATCATGTTAGTAGGAAGATAAATTCTGCAATATTCGTCATTTCTGTAAGAGCAACACAATAATAGTGTGTTCTTCTCAGAGATCAGGTGAAACATCTGAATGGAGCCTTAAATTTCAGTATTAAAATCCAAAATATGCAGCCAAATTAGAGTGGAAAAGCCCTGCCTATGGTACATATTCAACAAGCTTTTGTTTTCCATTGGCTGTTTGCTTCATTGCACAATAGGAAGGCTTGCAGTAATCTGTATGAGCTAACAATAGGAAAGGCAGCTTACTGGGCGCAGAGCAGCTTGAGCTTTCCATTGGCTCCATCAGTGCAGTCAAAGCAGAGAAGTAGGTGAGATGAGTGTGAGCCAACAGCAGTCCTCTGCAAAATAAACCAGCATTTTATCTTAAAACACATTCAAATAAATGGCGACCATAGGCCCCAATTCTCTTGCCTAAAAGCTAACAATTATGATCCATATTTCAACTACACATTCAATAAATAATTGCTATCTTGAACACACATTTGAATGTACTTTTCAATGCCTTATGGATTATATGCAGATGTGCTTGAACAGAAACACATACAGTACAAATGTCATGCTGTTTTTTTAAGAGTCTGACCTTTATAGCCATTTATAAATGCAGGTTGTAAGCTTAAATTTTTTATAATGGACTGTTATTATGACAGCAGTACAAATCAATACAATAATATGGCCTTGCATAACGTATAGTGCTCTTTAGAAACACTGTGTCAGTCTGAATTTCAAGGTGCTGCGGTCTTTTCACAGGTGCGTCCTTGCATTGTGTTACACAAACCCCTGCTGTGCAGATAAATAGAATTTATAGATAAGATGACAAAGCTTCACATCAAACCAGTGTCTGTAAGACACCTGTCTTTTCAAAACCTATATTCAATTTATTTAATTCGTATTGTTAGAATTTGCTAAATAATTCCTGGGTTTTAACTATTATTATTATTATTATTATTATTATGGTAATATTATGAAAATGAAGAATTTATATCCATTTTATTTTATTATATAATGTGTATATATCATTCTTTTATTTTTTAGTTTTATTTGGCCCAAAAAGCTAAATCCTTATTAATCTTAATCCCAATGGTTGACATGCACACATATATATGAAATGTAAATGCAGCCATAATGATATCATTTATATACAGCAGATATATATAATTACAAGGAAATGAAAGTCATGGACACGTATTGTATAAAAGCTGTGGCAACCATATAATTAAGAACAACTTAAGCATCTTTAAAACTGGTTTTACAACGTATAAAGCGAGTTTATACATGGCTGTGGTGGCAACACTAGCAATTACACCCCAGTTTTTTGTCCTTTGTAGCTGTGTAACAAACAGCAGCTGTCAGTCTCATCCCACTCATAAGCCACGGGCGTCATGAACGTGAACACTAACTCAAAGAGCTACACTCCCTCCAGCAGTCCTGGGGCACTGCTTTATGTGTGTGTTCCAATTATGGCATGCAAGCAAGCACGTCTGTGTGACTGCAGCTCAGGATGAGGGTGTGTGAGGGATGATTTAGGGAGTGTGATACACATTTGCTGTTTCTAGGTCAAATTTTAAGACCATAACATTTAATAATACCCTTTTTCCTGTCATCAAACTTTTGGAGGTGTGAAACACATTTGCCAGTGACTACATTATTAATGGTCATGATCTGTCTTTCTTTACCGTGTCCTGCTCATTATTCTTTCCAAGTGTACAGAAACAAAAGTCTCCGGTATAAAATGAGCCACAAGGGTTTTTTCCCTCAGGCAAGGCATCTTTAAGGCACAGAGTGAAACTGAGTGTTGTTTTTTCTTTTATAATAAGGCAGCAACAACAATATGTTAAGAAGCTTATCAATCATCTATTCCACTAAATTCTCTTGCCTGTGTTCTGAGTCTTCAATAAGCCCCGCCTTAAACATTTTATTGACCAACCAACAGAGTTGGGTAGATTACTTACAAATTGTAATCCGTTACGGATTCCAAATTACATGACACAAATTGTAGTTATAATGTAATCCATTACATTACACATTTTAGGTAATATAATCAGACTACTTTTAGATTATTGTTGTTATCAACAACAAAAACATTATATTACGTCAAGGTTTCCCAAACTGTTTGTGATGGAACTGCAGAGAGTTTATTAGTTTAATGAAAAGCTAATAATTAATTAAATCTTAAAAATGTTAAATCGTTTTTTTTTTGTAATTAATAAAAATAAAACACTTACTGAAAAAAAAATGAAATATTTTATTGGTTTACCTGCATGACACGTGACCATGCAAATGCGATACTTTCTTATTAAAATATTTATTTTAAAATTTCAGGGGTACTTCAAATAAAAATATATTAGGTGAAAGAGGATCAGATGACACAAAAAGTTGGTGATTTTGTGCATTTTAATGTGTCTGACAAATGCCTTCCAAAGTAATAACCTACTGAGTGATAATTCAAATAAA